TATTTCCTAGAGTAATCATTCTTTTATTGTTTTTCAAGATGCATAAGCAGAGTTTTAAAAGAGCAGCAAGCTGAAAATACTGAAGCCTGAAGTCCTTCTACATTCAATATATACCTGAGGGTCTCTCTCCCCACCTTCCCTCCACTCACCTCAATGTTTGGCAGCGTTATTGTCACCTGCTCGCCTTTGCCAACTTCAAGATCTCCTTCACAGGATGTATCAATAGATGCAGGCTTGAAGTCATCTAACAATAGAAACAAAATGGTGATTTTCATAAGTCTCAGAAGTCCCTTGAACATCTGACATATGGTTTCACATATTTTAGAGATGGTAGAGATGGGTGTCACCAAGATAGTGAATTGAATGGTGTGGCATCTACCACTGCTATTAGCAGATTATACTACATGCTAATACAGCTGAAAGCCAAGACTGTTTTACTGATATTCAACCTAGGTCTTATCGTGTCCTGATGCCAAGTCTTTTCAAAAGAGGGGTTTTAAATACCACATAGAAGGCTTCCCATTGAAGATGTAGCTTAACTGGTTTTGCTTATGATTAAAAGAAAAAAATGACCCATACAATTATTTACTGGAAAAGAGAATCCCTGATAATTTCAGCTCAAACTGGAAGCTGCAGGTAGTTGGCAAGCAACTGAAAAACAGGGGAAGGGGTTTAAAATAGAAATGCATAAGCAGCCTTGAGGATAGCTGTGGTTGCTGCTCTTCCAATTGTAACAGCAAAGGAAAAGCCAGGTGCCAGATCAAGGATTTTAGTTTTTTCTCAACATAAATAAGCTTTTAAATTCCTGTTAAAATGGAATTTAAAAAAGCCACCATCATATCCTCATTGCAATTCCATTTTGTCATTCTTTGACCATCACATTTGTTTCTAACTCTTTGGCCAGTACGAATTTAAGCTCTTTAATTTGCCAACTCTTTGAAACATGCAGATGAACATAAAGTTTGCCAAACTTTTTTGCACTAGCATTACCGGAGTTGTCAATCTTGCCAAAAGCATCACTTACAGCAGGCTGGGAAAGTAACAACTGCTGTTTCCAAGGAGCTAAATAAGCAGATAGTTTTTAGTAGGTAGAGGGCAGCTGGTGAATAGATCCAAGGATAGCAACACCCAGGCCTTGAGAACCAGTGTGGCAACAAAAGACGATCAAAATCCAGGCTTTAGTTGTGTGCACACTGCAAAGGGGATGTGACTGTATGTATTTTACAGCAAAAGCCTTCATCACCAGCCAGCAGGCCTCAATTCAAGGAAATGGGAGGGTGTACTGTAGATAAAAGTGTTTGGATTAAAACCCAGGTAATATCTGCACTGCAGCAGGCTCTGTCTCAGAGGCCTAATTAGAACCTAGCCCAGTAAGGTACTGCTAATAGAGCTCCTATGGCAGGAATGGGAAACCATTCCCATGAGAGCGCTGCCGGCTCCTTAGCACTTTGGAAGATCAGGACACTGAAACAGGTCTTTAAAATATTGACTTTGCAGCTTAAACTTTTGGTCCCAATTTCTGAAGTTGTCAGACAGTTACTATTACTAGTAAAAAGATTTAAAAAAAAGAGAGACGCATCTCTCCTGACACTGCTATCAGATGCACAAATTTAGCTGAATTTCAACCTTTCTTTAGAGCAACACAGGAGAAAAACATTTGAAGTAGATTCTGTAGCTTTACAATTTATATTTATCCAACAGGAAACTTTAAGGGCTGGTGCAAGACCAGAAACATCTGCAAATTGTTCAATTCTTAAAAAAAAAAAAAAAAGTTAGAGCAGCTATGTAAATCCACATACAAGTTTTGGGTTCCCTCCCCACCCAGCTGTGGACAATCTGAAGTGCGATTGTTTGCTCAGAGCAGACATTATCCACCCCACTGCATGAAGCACAGAGGGCATTCTCAGAGGTACTGAACCGTGGGGATCACTCTAAAAATAACAAGCCATCAAAACAGAAACAGCAGCCCTAAATTACCAGAACCATAATCCTAACAGCATTTGTCTCCTAGATACCTGCAGAATCACTGAAAACACACCTCCCAGGATAGTAGCTATTATGTACTCAGGGAGCAAACACTAGCTTTGAGATTAATACTGCCTTTAACCTTTGACTGTTGAATGTGTATTTAGAGACCTGTAGAGGCCAAGCACAAAGAGCAAACATAACTTCAGCCCAAACTCAGAAGTTCACAGCATTAGGATAAGAAAGACACCGCTGTTTCTTAAAACGTATCCCAGGGCAGAGCAGATGCATTTAGTACCCACAAAGAAGTGCTAAGTGATGTATGGCAGCAGAGTGCTAACTTCACCAGCAACACACCTGCTCATTAGCTTGGTTTCAAATCTCTCTCCAGCAGCTGCAACCTGCTCTGAACCGTACAGTTTTGTGTTGAAGAGTGCAGGAGGACATAAGCAACCTGGGTTCAATTTCCAGCTCTGCCTCAGACTCTCTACATGAACGCAGGCAATCAACTTAATCTGTTGGGGCCCAAATACTCCTGTTTTTACGACATCTCTCTCTCATGCTTCCTCTCAGGGGTCTGTTTAAAAACTTTTCAGAAACTGTTTCTTCCTTGCAGTCTCCATGGGACCTGCTACGGGAAGGCCTTGCTAGATGCTATTGCAACACCATCAGAGTAGTAGTGTTGCCACATTTGATTCCAGTCCCCAGCCTGGCCCTCTGCCCCTGTACTTCTCCACTCAGGATCATCCCAGCCCTCCCGCAGGTGCAGTCGAAGACCCTTTGTGCTCACCTCCCCATCATCACCTTCCCCTGCTCCTTGCTCAGAGGCCTGCTCTCCCATGACCCTGACTTACTCTACCCCGCCACTGCCCTCACTGACCACAGCCTCTCCCTCTCACACTAAGGTCAGTGCAGGAAACAAAAGCCTGGGGTACTCCCTGTGCAGGTTACACAGCCCTGCACTTGTCCCAATCAGCCTGTGCCTACCAACCGCGCCATGCGGGATCTGCAAAGTGGACTTTAGCTTTGTGCACAGCAGATTCACGTCCACCCAAAGGCAACCCCAGTCTGGGGGGGGGCTCCCCTACCACTGGTGGGGAGTCGAGAGAGCAGGGGCTGGGGGCCAAGGAGCCCATTCCAAGCCACAGCACAGAATGGCCCATCGCCCACACGGGACCCGGCCCCTTCTAGAC